AAATATACACCAACAGACTAGAACCGTAGTTACCCGAGTCAGGAGAAGGTGAGATGCCATGAAGAGGTATAGGCCAAAGTCTACCGAGTGGCCATAGAGAGAAATGTGGAGACTGAAGGGGTGGCATGAGGACTGCAAGAATATGCAGGACACCCGTGTTCTGAGATGCTGTATGCTACAGCCACCACTTCACTGTATGTATGCATGCATGCAAAGCATCGTACTGCATACCTCACATTTTTACAGTAAAATTAGTGACTTATTCCTTTGTGCTATAGCTTGATAGTTTGAATCTTTAATGTTCCCTAATGGCTCATGTGCTAAAAGTCTTGGTCCATTGCGGGGTGGCACCATTGGGAGGTGTCAGAATTATAACGAGCTGGGGGAAGTTTTTTGGTTACTGGGTGGGGGCATTCCGTTGAGGGAGTATGTGGGTCCCAGTTCCTTACTCTCTATTTTGCTTCAAAGCAATGAAGGGAGTGGTGTTTCTCAATGGCAGACTGCCATCATTATTGGATGTTCTTGTTAGCAGTCTAAAACAAGAGGACCCACTGGTCATAGAGTGGAGCCTTCAATGTGCCTGTTCTCTTCGAAAGCTGGTTATCTCCGGGATTTTCTTACAGTGACAGAAACCTAGCCCATTTCACAGGTGGAAAGGTGGAAAGGAACCCGGCTCTGCTGCTGAAGTCTTTGCCTCCATCGCTGTTTTAACTTCACTATCTACAGAAAATTGACTGTAGCTACTCTCCCTGAATGCCACAGATGCTGCATCTCCAACAAACATCCATGATCAAAGTGTTCAGCTACTAATGTGAAAAAGGCTAGCAGTGGAAAACGGCCCAGGCTTTGTTACCTACTGAAACGAAGACAGAACAAAGAGCGTTCTGAAAGGCACCAGAGCCATAAAGAGAAAACATTAAGAAATCAGTTCTTTCAGAAAATAATAAGAGGCACCTTCCTCTGAGAAAGCCATGGAGTTTTTTAAATATCATTTTTACATGCAGGTCGAAGCTGGCTTATAGTAGTTTGCGTTTTAGCATCTCTTTGACAATCATGCCCACTTTATTATTCATGACACTTACAATAGGCAGGACTGTAGATGCTATCCATCCAATTTGGAGGAAATGGTTCCATTTGGAATAGATTAGTATAAAGACTTTTATTATCATCTCTAATTTTTTAATGTAAGATATAGGAAAATTTATAATGAGAAAAAGCAATAATGTAACAGGCATTTCTGGATCACTTCCCCAAAAAGCTAAAATGCAACTCCAAGTCTCTCAAAAATCTTTTTAAAAGATGCCTGTTTAATCTCTGCAGAAAATGACACAGATGTGCGTACTCATTTGTGCAGCTTCTGTGTATTTGTGCATTAATTAAGTACTTTATTTTTAAAAGCCTCTCCAGAGAAACCCATTTAAATGCTTTGATTTCATAAATGTGATTCTTTTAAACCTATTACTTTCCTGTATTAAATTAGGGTAGGGATTTCAAAGAACATAAACTTTTCTTCGCGTTAGCATTGCATTTTCAGTTATTGAGTTGCTGTTGCAGGATTTTATCATTTTATACATTGAGTATTTTACATTATGCTATTAATAAATACATAATGTACAGCAAATGTTATATTATTGGTTAACTATTAATTCTGACATAATTTCTAAAGGAAACAGAAATGTAATTTTAACACAGCACCTTTCTTGGGAATGTATTGTTAAAAGATCATGGACTCAAAGTTAGCTAGGAAGGGATAGGAGGGTGGAAAGGGCAGTTATGGAAATGGGGGATGGGTATGCTCAAATACAATGTATGAATGTATCAAATAATTTTCTGGGTGGTGGAGCACACCTTTAATCCCAGCACTTGGGAGGTAGAGGCAGGTGGATCTCTGAGTACGAAGGTAGCCTGGTCTACAGAGTGAGTTTCAGGACAGCCAGGGCTAAACAGAGAAACCTTGTCTAGAAAAACTAAAATAAGAAAAAAAAATCAAGGACTTAACCAAAGCATTGTTTAAAAAACATATACGAACAATCTGTATATGATCACATACACACAGAAGACATCCATGACTGAGGATAACACACAGTCAGCTGGACAGAGTGCAGTTAAAGAACCTGTGTTAGAGAAAAGCACCATTAAATAATAAAGTTGGTAGACATAAGAATGGGTTAAAATCTCCTTCATTTAAGATGGCATAGTGGTCTTGATAAAGTTAAAAGAGGTTTGTGCTTTATGGTGTATTTTCTGATTTTAGAAGCAGTTGGATGCTTCAGATAACAAGATGGCACTAAACCACAGTGCCATGTCTCATATTTATTCTTCCAAATTACAGACATACTGTCATACCGCAAAACTCTCAGGATTTAGAATCAGGATACCTTCATTTGATTCCAAGCACTGCCTGATTTCCTGTTCTGGGATACTGGATGAGTTAGTTAACTTCTCCCATCCTCAGTTTCATTAATTATAAAATATTAGTGTCTATAAAACATGATTATTGAATTCAAAGGACATAAAAATATAAAAGGATTTTATAATATATAAAGTTATATGAAAATTATGACCGGATATGTTTGAAAAAGACCAAATTTAGAGGCTGCTTCAAAAAAGTAACGTCTTGAGTGGGGGAGATGGCTCAGTGGGTAAAGACGGTTGCTGTGCAAACCTGGCAGCCTGAGCTTAATCCCTAGAACTCCTGCAAAGGTGGAGAGAGAACCAAATTCACAAGGCCACCTTCTAATTTCCATAAAAATCCTATGGCAAGCACACCTACTGGGAATTGGAACTCAGCTTTGTCGAAAGCACTTTCGTTACTAAGCCATCTCCCCATCCCGTTCGAAGTATTTCCAGTCAGGTGGTACTACATAGATATTTAAAGTGTTCGGCTTGACAGCATAAGGCTCACATATGAACTGTTTTTCTATTATGGAATAATTTCAGTCATCTTTGAAATTAGGTATATCTTTAATTTCTGTTGGAAAGAGTCAATACCAACATAAGAAGTCCCATCTTCTGAGACTGCTAAAAGCTAATGTCTGTTAAGAGGGACTAGCGGCAGGAGGATGGCACAGCAAACCACAGCCAGCTTCTCATAATAAGCAGGAAAGTAAAAGACATTTGTGTGTGTGTGTTCAAAATTCTTTGGCTGGGCAAGAATTATCTTCTTTTGTAATTATACACTTGGGGCTGATTTCTCATTTTTCAATCCCAAACATGCTTTCTTTTAAGATAGTACTTTCAGGTAGAGAACCCGGGCTTTGTGTGAATTTAGAAAAGCTTGTCTTCTGCATCTGACCCTCACTTGAAAAATTTTCACGTTCTCATTCAGCTTCATTTACCCTAGGTACAATTCATAATGACTATTAAAATTCCCTACTTAAAAATTTCTGTTGGATACTGCTTGACTTCAACAACTGTTACAATCTGCTCTCTGATGGCTAGTATCAACAACATTTGCAGAGAAGGAAAATACAGCAGGGGGTCCAGTGATGGGCAGAGACAAAAAATAGAACATGTATGACAGGAGACTATTATGTTTAGATCTTCATAAAACATCTCAAGATGACCCAATTATCTGATGGAGGAAATTGGGTGGGCAAAGTTTCCGTTTTAGATGTTTTCTTTGCCCTTACTAGAGGCATGTACAAATTTGCTCCCACATACCTTTTACTTTGTAATGTATTTACACCATTTTACAGTGTATAAGATTTTAAAGAAAATTGAACCATTATGAGTGAAGGAGGGTAGAGAAAGGTGAACTGTTGCCCAGTGATGGAAGTAAATCTTTATAGTCAAGTAAAATAGCAAGAGTGATTATCTGGGAAGACTGCTTACCCCCAGGCACAATACTGTCTATTATATTCCCTGATTTAGCTCTAGAGTTGTAAGTCATGGGATAATGAAGCTGGTAAGGAACTGCTTAAGTTACCATCTAATGCTTCTGTAAAGATTGTTTCTCTTTTTGGATGGTATGTGTCTATGATGTGCAATCGTGTGTATATACATGTATGCATTGTGAGAGTGCATGTGTGTGCAGATGTGTATGCCTATGTGCAGTGCAGAGACTGATGTTCGATGTCCTTGATTATTCTCTACCATATATACTGTTGCAGGATTTTTCACTGAACCTAAACTTCAATGTTTCTGCTAATCTTTCTAGCCAGCTTGCTCCAGATATTTCCTGTCTCTGTTTCCTGCACTGGGATTACGGATGGGCCACAAACCAGCCCACTTTGCTTTTACTGGATCTGGGGATCTGAATTCCCAATTCTCATACTTGTGTGATAAGCACTGATAAAGATAATGCTGAGCGTTCTCTTCGGAATCACCGGTTGGTCTTATTGTAACTTGATATGATTTAGAATCAACTTCTGGGTATGTCTGGGAAGGTATTTCCAGAGACCTATCTATCAGTGCTACTTCCGTCTTCCCTGACACCAGCCTCCAGTTTCTTTATTCCCCCCATGCAGAATCAAAACCAGAGGTTATGCAGGAATCTTCAGGCCTCCAGCATCAGTCTGGGATTGCTAAGGCTTTCAGCTTTGTGGACTGAGCAGCTACTGGATGACCATTGCTGGACTATACAGGCCCTATCATGCTAGCCATTCTAATAAATTTCTTTTTATAATACATAACATATACATGCATTTTATTGGTTATGTTCTTCTAGAGAACATTGCTTAGCATAGCTGCCTTGGCCACCCACATTTGTTAAACAAATATGGCTATACTTTTCCTTCTCCATCCAGAAGGTACTTATGAGGTTGTCATCCTTATAAAACCTCTTTGGACATTTTTATGTTTTTTTTTTTTTTGAGACAGGGTTTCTCTGTGTAGCCCTGGTTGTCCTGGAACTTGCTCTGTAGACCATGTTGGTCTTGAACTCACAGAAATCCACCTGCCTCTGTCTGCTGAGTGCAAGGATTAAAGGCTTGTACCATTACCGCCTGGTTCTACATTATTTTTTGAAACAAAGATAATGTAGGGTTGAGTCTACTGACCTCGACTGTCATCCTCATTGTCTTCCCAGTGTTCCTCATTTGCCAGCAGCGGGTTCTGAGACTCATTTATAGACCTCAGAGGGAAGGAGTGTCCATCACCAGGGCTGGTGGGAAAGAAAGGTAGAGTTTGCATATGACACAAAATTTCTTTTTTTTTATTCAAACTCAGTCATACACAGAAGGAGGGAGGGGTGAGGAAGAGAGCAAGAGAATGAGAGAGAGAATGTGTGTGTATGTATGCATGTGTATGTGTGCATATGTAGAGGACAACTTATAGGAATAGGTTCTCTCCTTTCACCATGTGGATCCTGGTGATTGAATTCAGGTTCTTAGGTTTGGTGGCAAGCACATTTATACCCACTGAACTATCTCATCAGCTCAGGCAGGGTCTTATTTTGTGACTTAGTCCAGAACTTGCAGTCTCCTGTCTCAGTATCCTGAGTGCTGGGATATAGGTGTGTGTCATAATGTCTATGTAATATAAATTTTGAGACAGTGATAATCTTCTTAGAAATGAGATATAATCATGGATTTGGGTTTGTGTTGTGAGAATTCTCTGGTCCAATTCTTTACCACTGAGCTATATACCACACTTGTGGATTCTTAGTTCTTTTGTCTAAAGACATGATCAAATAAGCTCTTATTATCATCCAACCATTATCATTTACTTGCTAAATTACCCTCATTTTCCATGTCTTGTTTGTCTGTATCAATGCTGACTATTTTTGTTTGTAAAACATTCTTTAATTTGCTTTCCACAATGCCCAGTAGCAATATGCATATGCAATTTCATAAATATCACTTAACTATGATAGTCCCAATTATATCCCATTATCAAACCGTTTTGATTCTAAATTATAAAGTGAGGTGAGAAGACTCACCATCACTAAACATTGTGGGAAAAGATGCTATGAAGGGTGAGAAGGATGCTCCTGCACCCTGTTTTGTTTTTTACTTTTAACATAGAGTGGAAAAGAGAAATAGCAAGGTGTCTCTGCAGTGTGGATTCCAGGGACGATTTATCTACATGTGAGTCTACTTTGTGGGTCTCTATGGTAATCTAGAGCATGTCCCTAATCAATTTCTGGCCATTCCTAGATAGGAGACCATGGCAGGAATCATGGTGGCCCTAGCCAGATACTGTTATAGTTTTAGCAATTGAGTCTATACAGCTGAGTGTATTCTGAGTTTAACTTTGGATGGCTTTTGGATTATTTATTTGATGCTGTATATACTTTTTTTCTCTTGTTTCTGAATGATTCAATAAAAAAGTTTACAGATTTTATTTATATTGCTCTACAGAAAATGTTAGAATAATGATTATGTAAGTAAATGGGCTTTGATTTTTGGTTTTGTTTTTATACTAGAGTGATGTGGTAACGGACTTTGACTATTTGTGTGCCTCAGTGTGTGATCAGAGTATATGTAGCTAATTCCTGCTAACAGTTATTAATCAATATTACCCACTGACGAATTTTGTCTTGGTATTTATAGTTAGAAGAGTTGACTATACCACACCTTAAACAAACAGCCCTATAAAACATTAACTGGCATAGAGGAAGTATTGATGCAGCAAGGGAGGCGAGGAGAAAATTTAACCTTTATTATTATGTGACTCCAGCAAAGTTTTTTTCCAACAAGAGACTATGGATATATGCTGTTTGCGCAGCGAACCTAAAGGATACAGAAAGGTCAAGACATTCTCTACAGTTCCTGTAGCTTGTGGTGGTTTCAATGGGGTCATAAAGTCACCCAAAGGATATAAGTCTAGCTCTACAAAAATAAATAAATAAATAAACAGGGTTTCTCTGTGTAGCGCCCTGGCTGTCCTGAAACTCACTCTGTAAACACAGGCTGATGTCAAATTCATGATTCTCTTTCCTCGGGTTTCCAAATGCTGGAGTTATAGGCATGAACCACCATGCCTAGACTGAAGAACATTTTTGTGTGTAGTCTATTCTCCATCACTGGGATAATGGATGTTTTTAATATGTACTATCAAATTTATTAAAGATGGGTGCCAGTTTACCTTTCCACAAGTAAATCACGAAAGTGTCTATTGTATCATACCTCCACTTCATGATTTATCTTTATAGATACACAAGTGAGAAATTTGGGGAAAATCATACCTATAAGACTGATAGCAATCTGCATTTGCAGACGGGAATGGTGACACATGCCTTTAATCCAGCAGTGAAGTGGGAGAATCAAGTGGATGGCAGCAAGTTCATAGCCTGTTTGGTCTACAAAGTGAGTCCAGGCCAATCAGGGCTATATAGTGAGGCCTCATCTCAAAAGAAATTGAGTCTAATTTGCTACTATAGGTGCTCAGTTGTCATCAGAGAAGCTTGCTCTGAGATGGGAAGTGGTTGATGCAAAAACCCATAACTGGCCAAGACGGTGAGAACGAGTGATAGCAGCAGGCTCAGCCCTAAATTAGGCAGCTGTATTACCCCTCCCAAAGCTCAGGGAACGTCATGGAAGAAATGGTAGAAAGACGATCAGAGCTAGAGTGTAGAGAAATGGACAACAAAAAAAACTACCTTCTGGACATGACACAGCCATTACAGCCATGAACTCACAGAAGATATGGCTATCTGCACAACACTTGTACAAGATTGGGCCCATCAACACTTCACCATAAATAGGGGATGAACCCATAGGGCCTCTCCCTCTCTGTGGTATTATTGGTAATTAACAGTTGTTGGTGGAAGTATTGTTTTCTTCAGCGGTGTAGCCATTGAAAAATTGTCCTTGCTCCAGTAAATAGCCGCTCATGCATGCATATGCCAGCAACACTAATTTAAGTGAGTGAGAAACACAAAAAAACAAGATAGGAAAGTAGACTTGTTGAAAAGAAGGGTTCCAGCAGGAGAGAGGAGGGATGAAAAAGGGGAGCGGGGTGTGAAAATTACCAAAATTCATTATAAATGTGTGAAATTCTCAAACAAAAACATTCAAAAATAAATTTGCTGCTTAGCTGCATGGCTCAGCATTAGCTGCTTCCAGTGGTAATAATTACCTACCTGGACCCAACAGGTATTAACCAGAACTTCTTATTATCGCCAAACACCTGCTGGATATTCTTGATGAAGCCAAGGTTAAACCCATTTTTCTCTGGTCCACTTGTAAATACTGGAGTGCAAAAGGCCTCTAAGACAGTGCAGCAGAGTTTGGAAAGAAAAAGAAAATAAAGGAATACATTTCATCACTGTGATGATTTTACATCTCTCCAAAAAATGTGGTCTGGATTTATGACATCTTTTTGCTGTTTAAGCATAGGTCCATGTTCTTAATTATTGCTAAATTACTTAGTAAAATTCAGTTAAATTATTTAATAAAGGGCGAAATTGTTATTGAAAATAAGGAATTTATACTCTCATCATTTTAAGGCAGAGTAAATACACAATGGAAAAAATAATACAGCATTTTTGAGGGGTATGTCTTTGGGCTGTAGAATTTAAGCAGTGCATGAATAGATTTAAGTGTACTTTATTGGAATCAAAGTGGCAACAATAGCCAAATGGTCTCCATCTGTAGATCTGGGACCAAAGTAATGACACATAAAGAGATGGTAATGACATTGATTTGGTTTTGAAACATTTCAGAAATGAAGATGTTCACAATGAAACCTGCAATATAAAAAACCTAGTTTTACTCCAGACGAAATGTCAATGGGTGAACTGTAATCACCTCAAAGCCTATGAGGAATTGGGCCACATTAGTGCACGTTATTTTTAGACACACATTTATCCCATTAAGCAAACACTTTCACTGTTGGGCTCTGGCTGCATCTCACCATTTCCCATTTGTTCTTTGTTTTCAGACCCTGTTATCATGAAGCTTTTAGTACTTTTCTACTTTTGTAGCTATCTCTCAACCAAATGTGCTAATTTACTACCCTAAGTACTAAGTGCTATACGTATATTTGATTTAGAAAAATGGGTGCAAAGATTTCCCTAGCAAATGAATTCTCCAAGTGCAGTGGCTTTTACACTAAATTCCTTTCAAATCTAATTCATCCTAGTTAAATGTTTAACACTTGAACGCTTTCTTCCTATTCCTTGTGTGCTGACTTTTAGACCATGCAAATATTCACCACAGATGAAGTAATTATTGCACTAGAATTCTTTTGTTCTATATATAATAACAAGTCTAGAGTACTAATTGACAGCAAAAAAGAAAAAACCCAACTCGTTTAGTGTACTGATTTTCTGCAGATTTAATATGCATATCTCATTTGTATGGTCTTTTTATATACTCTTTTGACTGTAAGTATCAATCTGATTCTTTATAAAAAGAATTTTACATTTTTAAATTTATTTATTCATTTTGTATATGTGTGTGTTTATGTGCACACACCTGTGTGTGCATGCCATGGTATGAGGACAGAGGATAACTTGTGGGAATCAATTCTTTCATTCTACCACGTGGATTTCAGAACTTGAACTCAGGTTGTCAGGATCTTGGAAAGCACCCTTACCTGCTGAGAAATCTCAATGGCCTGGATTTTTGCATTCATTGTTGTTATTCATTTGGATTCTTTTTAAGGTCCCTGTTTTGGGCTAAGCATCATCAACTAGATTATTGTTATTTAATGTCCTATCTTCCTCCTGATACTCATCGCTTCATGTGAACTTTCTAGAAGTCAGATTGTAAAATTGGGGATGTACAGAACTGCGATCATTTCGGGTTCTCTATGGGATGCGACTCATGGATGCTCTGTGTAGTCCATAAGTTTGTTCACTATTGTTGTCCAGTTTAGTAAAATGTATTTCCATTTGTCTCAGGGGATATCACTAAAGCTAAAATACTTTACTATTAGTTTTTCTCTCCTTAGGGAACAGTGATATACATTAATATGCATTTTTCTAATCATAACATTCCATCTTACCTAAGGTCGTTTTGTTTCTGCTGACAAGCCAACAATGGTAACCAAAGAGAATCACAAGGCTGACAAAAAACATGCAGGCCACAAAGAGGAGAAAGAGGACGTGGAACTTAGAGCGAACACTGGGTAATTCCCCCTAGAAAAGAAACAAGAGGCAAAGAAAACAAAACATTAAAGTGGGAATACTTGGCTATCTTTTCTATATAGATTAGTATTAGTAGTGTTTCACATGTAAAAATCCAGCTCCAATTTGAAAAACAGATTTTGTAAGCTTAAATTTTATTACATGCATTTATTTATTTTGTGTGTGCATGCACACATGTGTGTGTATGTGTGTGTTTGTGTATGCACATGCCAAAGTGCGCAGGTATGGAAGTCAGAAGACAACTTGTGAGATTCAGCTCTCCCTCTACTATGCAGATTCCAAGGACTGAAGTCAGGTCATCAGACTTGATGACAAGTGTAGGTCCTGACTATTATTTATTTATATTTACAAAATTATTGATCATTGTACCTTATTATAGATATATTCTTAGTTTGCAAAGCTTAAAATGGATTCTTGTTTAAGTGCAATATATAAATGCACCAATTAGAATAGAGTAATATGAAAAGGCTATGTATGCTCAGGTCATAATTGGTGTGAAGCCCATATTTCATTTAGCTTGAGAATTATGAATCACTGTCTATGGGATCATAAGGTTAGTACTGTTCATCCTATTGTCTGAGGGCGTCTATAATAGAATCCTTTTATTTTTTAAATAAAACCTCATACAAAAAGCCTATTTTTAAATTTTTGCTGTATTATGTGTGTGTTGTGCCTTCATGTATGTCTGTGTAACACATGTTTGTTTGGGGCCCACAGAAGCCAGAGAGGGTATCAGATCCCTTAGAACTGAAGTTATAGAGGCTGTGAGCATCCATGTGGGGGCTGAGACTGAACTTGGGTCCTCTGGAAGAGCAGTCAGTGCTCTTAACTACTGAGCCATTTCTCCAGCTCCTTATACTACTATTCTCTATACATCATGTGTCTTTGGCCATATGTGTGTTAAAAATGCTAGATTGTTGAATATAAGAAATTAAAACACAGAATTTTAAAATGTCTTACCAGAAGTCATGAGATGATTTTAAAGCTGTTGAAATTTTATGTTTTTTTTTTTTAACAGTTGATATAGAATTTGCTGGTATACTACACCCTGTGGAGTAGCCGTTTGGACAGTAAAAAAGCAAGCAGGATTTTATAGATAATTGTGAAAGTAGGAAGTTAAAGACTGTTAGAGTTAACTGGACATCTTATTTTCCATGCAGCTCGCTTTTGTTTGATATGCAATTCTAGAGCAGAATGAATATTCTAAAGTTCTACAGCATTCATCACATGTGACATTTTGTCTTCAGAAAAGAGACGTGGAAAGCATTTTGAATTTTAGAATGAACATCTGGAGGAATGATTAGGCTTATTTCCTCCTTTCCCTTAATGGTCATTGTTTGGCATGATGAATTGGCTTGAGGCTTTTCTAGATGCCCTTCAGTGATAAAGTTAAAGTGATTCTTAAGTGAAGTGGAACTTAACTTCCTCACGATCCTATTCGACTCCACTTACTGAAGGTTAGTGCTTGGCAACGCTTGCTAAGTTCAAACACTATAGGTTTCTTTCTTTCCTTGGAGGCTATTTTTATTCATTTTTACATAAGGAAATGCTGGACCTCTTCCAGGTCGGATATGTTTGCAGTGCAAAGATAAGGGGAAGCAAGCACATCAGATGCTCTCAGCTGATGGGTGGTCTGGGTGAACCGTGTACAGGGCAGAGCAGTCCAGGAAACAGCTGCCTCAAGGACTTCAACTTTCAGGAGCCTTTATCTGAAACTCTCCATCTTGAAATGCTCCTTCCGACAAAATATTGACCTAAGCACCCAAACTGAACTGGTTTGGTTCCTGGTTGGTCTGATTCATGGTTTACTTTTTTCTTCTAATTTTTGCTTTTGCTGTTCTCAGGTAAAATTTCCAATAGCACTTCACAGTGCCTCTCACCTTCCCTGAGACTTTGATCTCATGGGCTCTTCTTTCTGAGCCTGTATTTAAAGTTCTAAAAGCTCGCATTGACTTTCCCTTTTTATGTGAAAATGGGCACTAGAAAATGGCTGAGCAAGTGAGGTTGTTCTGAAAGTCTGCTCCCATCTTGTGTAGCTGTGCTCCCAGCCTTTCCCCATCACTCTTTCTGAACTCATCTTTCTGTATGGTTTAGAATATCTGCCGTGCTGTACTTTCATAGAGTTCGCAATGTCAACTTTTCCTGTGCAAACAGTTCTGTGTTCAAAAATGCATTTCCAGGAGATAACAAAGCTAAATCCCTCAGAGCAATGGTCATCAGAGACAGTTCTGAGGAAGATTTGTAAAATAATATAATTACTAGGTTTCTAAAATAATAATTCATCACCTTTGTAAAGAGGTCCGTAGCCTAGCGTGGTCGGTGTGCATTACTAATTTTGCAAAAGGCAAAGATTAATTTCTCTTTTGAGAGTAGAATTTGCTTAATTTAACACTGAAAGGAAAGAAATGATGTGATGGTCTTCTGAGTCCTTTCTTTTAAAAGAGTTAAAGCCTGTCTATAGCAGAACCATCATAGGCATAGTACATGGAAGATCACAGAGGCTTATGGGCAGACTTATGTTCAAGTTCTCCCTTTGAAATTTACAGCCAGGTAGGTGATTTTTGACAAGTTACTTCTGCTGTAAGCCTTAGTTTTGTCATCTTGGAATGTGACAAATAGTTTTTGCTTTGGCTACTTCACAGGGTTGTAGTGAGGATCAGATGAGATCATAGATATAAAAATACTTCAAGAGCCATAAAGAACCATATATTAGAGGTTGCTGCTCTTGGGAGTACAGCTTGTCTCTTTGATATGCCTTTAAAAATATATGGCAGTGTTTATTTTTTATTTGAAGAAGAGGCTCAATTTAAACCCAGAAAGCCTTGTATCCCTAAGCCATACTAATGTCATTTAGGCCAGAGTGACTGCAAGGAACCATTTCCCCAGTTGTTAATGCCCTTTTCAGTGGAAGGACAAGCTATGACAGGCCTCATGCCCTCTCAGATGACAGGCATAAGTTAGGCTATTGAGGAGGAAAAGCAATGAAGGAATAGGAAAAGAACAAGGTCATGCTCACCGTGGATTTGCTTGTACTGCTGGCACATTTCTCATGATGAATTCCTATTCAGTTATCATCTTTTAAGAGTGAAGGAAGCATACAGTGCCTGGCTTGCATTTCAGTATTTGATTACTGGCTGGCTAGGGGAGTTAAAGGCAAAATGTGCGAAATGCAATGTTGTTTACTTTGTGGTAAAGGTAAAGAGTCGTGAATAAATGGTAGCCCACTGTGTTAGGGCTCAAGAAAAACATGTAAGAAAGATCAAGGCTCACACTTCCCTGCTGATTGGATGCAGCAGATTTTCTTCATATTTATAGAAGTAGCTCAGCATGCAGATGGAATGCCAAATAGGTCATGGAAACCTGAGGAATGGGGAATAGATGTCGTGCTGTGGAAAGGGGCCAAAGAAGAAATATCAAGATGTGTAGCTTGGTGAAGAAATGTTTCCTATTTGAAGAAAATGCACGAGAACATCTCATCATTTCTGCTTGTAGTTTGTTTAAATTAGGGATTTTGATACCCAATATATTGCTCCGGTTTCTTACAGCTATTAATTATCTGAATTTATTAAGCAAGTTGAATAGAAAGTGTAATTTTCTACATTACTAGGAATAAAAGCACTGATTCATAATTTAAATATTTTAAAATTTAGCTTCTCAGTGTCTTGTCTTTTTCTTTCCTCCAATTCATTATTATTTCTATTCTGACCATGTGATTTACATTCTTTCCCTGCTGGTTTACTGCTCCAGCTTAGATATGACATCCCTTGTTATATAAGGCTTTTGCAAATTTTCTAAAGTAATAATGAGTTGCTCTGCTCACATTTGTGTTTTTCTATTCATTTCAGTTTAGATAACTCTCATTGTGGACACCTTAATAACTGTATTATAGTGTAGGAAAGAGATTTCTTTGAAAGTTTAACTGGCAGAAGTTGACAAAGGGCACATTTCATAATATTTTACCTATTCACATATGCAAATCTACCTTAACTTTTTAAAATATATGGGATATGACTGATATCTCCAAGTAGGAGAAAGATAAGATTTTGAGTTTTTTAAATTTTAAGGTTTTTCTTTTGTTTTTGAGATTTTGTGATAATTCTTAGAATCATTATATGTTTCATTGGATCTTAGCAAGAGACAAGTGCAGCAAGTAAGTAATAGAGCCAGTATTAGATCTGCCGCTCTCACTTCCCAACCCACTGGCCATCACACATGCTCAAAAGAGAGGCTGGCTGTGGCGGCAGATGCCTCTCGTCAGTCCCCAAACTCGAGACAGATACAGGCAGATCTCAGAGTTTGAGACCAGACAGGTCTACAGAGTAAGTTCCAGAACAGCCAGGGCTATGCGGAGAAACCCTGTCTCAAAAAAAAAAAAAAAAAAAAAAAAAAAAAAAAAAAAAAAAAAAAAAAAAAAAAAAAAAAAAGCCCCCCCCCCACAAAGTTCCAAAGAGACTCTGTATCATTTTGTGCTTATGTACAAGTCAGTTTCTCTTTCTTTGCATCAGAAAGTTTGCAGCTCCCATCTGAGCATGAAATTATAGAGTATTTTCTAACTAATTCCTATTAACTTTTTTTTTTTTTTTAGAAACTAGTGATTTGTAATTAGTTTCAACTGTTTTTCAAATATACAGCTAGAAAGAAAGGTCTTTAAAACTCAAGCACAGACATAGATTTGAAAGAGTGGGTCAGCTGAGAGGTTACTCTCCCTGAGCATCAGCAAGCAGTCACAGATGACACAACTCATTTAAGTGGAATCTTTACTCAACAGTTTCTTAAACTTCAGAATATTCACCATGGAAAACTACTTTTTACTGCCTTGCCTTCTGGTTACTTCATTAATAGGTATTTCAAAATGCCAAAGGCTATAGGGTGAGGAGTGCTACATTTAGAGTCACTATTCACTTCCTTAGGTGGGAGCCGATTGGGATTTTTAAAAACTTACTCTCCAGTATTTGATGAAATAGCTGAAGACGGTTGTCACAATGTACAGGCAATAGAGAATGGAATAAGCTAAGAACTGGAGGAAGAATTTGTAGTTGGAAAATCCAATGCAGTTGTTAACCCTAAAAAAGAAAAGAAAACTAATTTGAAATCAGGACCTATTGACTGAGAACACACTGATAGTTAAGTGGATGAACGAAAGGAGGCACGTGACTCCTGCTGCTTCATTACTTGTTGTGTAGAAACCCAACAGAGATTGAGGCTCCTTAATATAAACAGACTGGAAAAACAAGTTCACACCTCACTAGTTTCCCTTTTTATTTACCAGCAGAGTCACCTGCGCTACCTAATAGCTTTAGAATGGCTCCTGAAACACCCAAGCAAACCTGGATTTTCATTGCTAAATATATGTCTGTCTTAGCTGCACTTTGACACTCTCTTGTTGTAATTAGGTGATTCCACACTGGCTTTTTAGGTCAGACGCACAACTTTTATAGAAGAATCACTGAATTTAACTATCTGTAACATTTCAAAATCAAGTCTTCTAGAAAGAGAAATGAATTGCATGATGGTGAAGAAGAGAAATACTTGTGCCATATTTCATTACTGGCTCAATGGCTAAAGTTAATGGATAGGAGACTATTAGCTTTGAACCTCAGGAACTCACTACCATACCTTTATTGGTATTTTCATCATTGTTTTAAAATGTTATCCTCCCCATAAAAACAAAGTCCAGTGAATTAAGGTAGCAAAAATGGGCATGTTGCAACTGGGCTTAAAGAAGTGGATATGTTAAACAACTTTGACCCTTTTAGAGGATAGAAATGAATCAAAAGAACTTACCATGGGCAGTGATGGTCCATTTTCAAAACGCATCTATTAAGAGGACAAAATACAGTATGATAAAAATGAAGAAATACTTCAAAATTGAACTCAAGTTTTTAGCAGTATTTTTACATAGTTCAGCAAAACTATCTACAGATTTCCACTCTGGCAAGTCCAAAGTTACTGCCTCCTAAACGACTCATGGGATGATCAAGTTCCAGCACCATCCTGGGACTGTGCTTGCAGCAAGTGACAACTCTAGAAGTGTAGTCTTGAAAGGGATAAGGAACTCCAGACTACGGATACAGTGAAAAACTTCAAGATGTCACCTTTAGCTTTGTTTACTTATTTCAATAATAATGCAAGGAAATATAGCCTGTGTCTGAATCAAAGGTAAGCGGAATATGGGTGGAACAGGCACTCAGGAACAAAAGTATGACAGTAATATACACTAACACAAAAAGTGGTTGTTACAAACCTGGAACAATTTGAAAGACAAAATAAAATAATACAATGTTGGTTAGTAACTCAAAATAGAAAATAAATATCTATACCTCTGTATTGATTCAAATGATTGAATAGACAAATAAGTGGGGCAGAAGGGACACATCTCCTTATGCAGATGTATTCCAAATAATTTACGCATATATTTCAAGGAGAGGAGACATAACTCCTTATTACTTTAGTTTGGAGTTATGTAGAGTGACTTTTATCCAAAGAGTACAGTTCAGAAATGAGAGGAGGACAGAATAATCTCACACTGGAAACACCTCACAAACATCAGTTGAGAGAGATGTTCAATATGAACACTGCAGTCAAAAGTCATGTTTATATGTACCCTTAATACCATGTAATGAGATCAGTACATTAGCTCCATGCTCTTTTTCCACATTAGCCCAGTATTAATGATCATGGGAAAAGAATAAACACATTTTAACTGAAGGACAATTTATAAAACATCTGATTCTTAATCCCCCAAACTGTAAAGGTTGTCAAAGCCAAGTAAAATCTGAGAAATCGTCATAGATAAAATGACCTACAGAGTAGATGTGACTAGTTAATGTAATGGGATATGCTGGATGGAATCGTGGAACAGAAAAACAATATTAGGGGGAAAGTGAAGATATCTAAAAAGTATATTCCAGTTATATATAAAGTCACCCAACAGAAACACTCACATACATACAAAATGACATCTGGACAAAGATATTTATATAGCATTGGCTTGAATAGTAAAAGTAAATTACATAGAGTTTCAATAGTAGAACATTTTTATAATTAAGCTATATTACAATACAATACAATGAAAAACAATGTCTTAATATTGGTTTATTAATCTTAGAAATGTATTATACTAATGGAACATAATAATAGGGGAAAGTGAGTGTTAGACATATGAGAACTCTCTTCACAATAAATCTATAAATCTGAAATCATTTACAATGAAATGTTTCTTTTGAAAATGCAGTATTATTTTTCTATCTTTAGACTAGAATGATTATCACCCCTGTGAAAGTGTTTGGCATGTGTTCATTATGTCTCAAAAGAAATGCTCTTATCTAGGCATGGTTACACGTTAGGATCAGTCATTTCGTTGTCTAGGCAACCATCAGTGGCCAGCATCAGCACAGAGAAAGTATAGTTGTCACTTACATAGCACAGACAGAACAGTGATGGCAGCGGTCTGGCTTGATTAGATGGCACCGGTCACAGAACCGCACAGCTATAGGAAATAGAAAGTGGTCAGTATGAGTTCAGGGTCAATAAAAGATCCCACCATTTACTAGTTTGTGGTTATATCTTGTTACACACTGACTACAGATGGCCAAATGTATCTCAAGCTACTAAGCAAAATGTAATAACAGCAAATTGTGGCATTTAAATTTTTTGTTTGTTGGACCAGTATTAAGAGAACTTTAAGGGACGAAAGAAGGGAGAAAAGTTTCATCTTTGGATAAGTGACAAAAAGTTTTGTATTGTAAACTAACTACTATCAACTGTTTTATGATTTGGGAACTCATTTAGTCTGTTTATTTCAACTTTCCTCCCTGAAAATAAGAATTTATCTCCTATTTCCAGAGGTTAGATTGTATAAGATAGATACAATTCCTACAGCATGATAAAGAATGTGGTTCTCAAAATAACAATTTGGAGAACAAAAGAGACATTTTATCTAGGACAATTTGTTGAACTCCCCATTTTGCAGATAAAGAAATGGAAACCTGTGCCACATAAAGTGCCATGATCAAGGCCATGTCACAGCAAATGAATGGCAGGGCTCTAATCTATGCAGTTGTTCTTCTGACTTCTTAGTTTTGGGTTCTATTCATACACACACACACACACACACACACACACACACACACACACACACACACAAACGACTCCCTAAGTGATGGAATGTTACCTGAAAGTACAAAATAAACCCTTTCCTCTCCAGGAATATATATATATATATATATATACACACACACACATATGTGTGTATGAGTGTTTGTGTGTGTTTATGAATCTTCCTCCTTCCTTCCTTCCTTCCTTCCTTCCTTCCTTCCTTCCTTTCTTTCTTTCTTTCTTTCTTTCTTTCTTTCTTTCTTTCCCAATTAAAGGCATTTATTATTTTTTCTCAGTTTTCTCCACATTTACTGTTAGATTATTGCTATGTATAACTGCACAATGCTGTTATTTTTGTCTAAAACCTGAAGGTACAGATAATTTGAGAAATATAACAATTCTATCTAAAGTATACATTGGACACATATAAACGAGTTAACACAATAGGCTGCAAATTCAGCAGAGCCCTGTGTTCATTTCTGCTAATGAGTGTTTGTGTGCATGTATATGAGAGGGGGGAGGGAGGGAGGAAGGAAAAGACAGGGAGAGAACGAGCATATCATGTCTCAATATATGCCTGCAATAGTTCTGTAATTGATCATCTGCCCTTCATTGTTGCTGCCATACAGTACTTAATATACAGAGCTGCTAGATGATTCATTAAAAAGTAAATCAAACATATTATTATCCACTTGACATTCAGTGAGTTTCCAACATGCTAGGAATAAAATCCAAATTCTGTGTCAGAGCTTGGGGCCTCTGCCTAAATTTTCAAATGTCCTTTGTACCACTGTCTATTCTCTATGCTCCAGTGTCATTGACTACCTCTCTGTCCTTCTAAAACTGCAACCTTCTGCCTATCTCGTGGCCTTTACAGTTCTTTATGTCCTTAGTGATCATCTCTCTATGCTCTTTGATCAATGGCTTGATGGCTAGTTTTTTCGTAAGACAAACACTTTATTTTTCTTTTCTTAGAAAAGAAAATAAACTATCTTTTTTCATTTTATTTACCAAACCCAGTTCCCACTCCTTTCCCTCCTCCTATTCCCTCCACCTAGTCCCACATTCCCCATCCACTCCTCAGAGAAGGTAAGACACATTGCTTTGGGGAAGGTCTAAGGCCCTCCCTAGGCTGAGCAAGGTATCTACCCAAAGAGAATAGGTTCCCAAAAAGCCAGTACAAGCAGTAGGGATAAATCCTGGTGTCACTGTCAGTGTCCCTGCAGTCTGCTCCAGCCATGCAACTGTCACCCACATTCAGAGGGACTAGTTTGGACCTATGCTGGTTCCTTCCTTGTCTGGCTGGAGTTGGTGAATGGTGTGAGAGAATTGTCTGTATTCTGTCAATCATATTTTAAATAAATGCTGATTGGTCAGGCAGAAGTATAGGTGGGTCAACCAGACAGGAAGTAGAGGTGGGACAATGAGAACAGGAGAATTCTAGGAAGGAGGAAGCCCATTCCTCCTTCTGCCCAAACCACCTAAGAAGCAGGATGTGATCTACCCCGCTGAAAAAGGTACTGAGCCATGTGGCTAACATAGATAAGAACAATGGGTTGATATAAGTTACAAGAGTTAATAAGAAGAAGCCTGAGCTAATGGGCCAATCACTTTATAATCAATGCAGACTCTCTGTGTGATTTTCTTTGGGGCTTATCAGCTGTGGGAACTGGACAAGACAGAAACCCAAACAAGCCCAGTCCTCGTGTTACAGGTGAACTTTCATTAGCTCAGGAGAGCTAATTAGTGGGAGAGCGTTAGATTGATGACTAGTTTTATTTGACAACTTAGTTAGTTTGCTGGTTAGTTTCTGCCAGCTTGATACAAATAGGAATCAACTGGAAGAGGGAACCTGAACTGAAGAATGACTTCCATCAGAATGGCCTGTGGGCATGTCTGTGGAGTATTTTCTTGATTGATCATGGATGCATTAGGGCCCAGCTATCTGTAGATAGTGCCATCCTTGGGCAAGTGGTCCTGGGTTATAAAGAAAATTAGCTGAGCAAGCCATGGAGAACAATCCAGTGAGCAGCATTTTTCCAAGATCTCTGCCTCTGTTCCTGCTTTGAGTTTGTGCTTTCTTTCCTTGGTGATGAAATGATATTTGTATTGTAAGATGAAATCAACCCTTTCCTCTTCAAGTTGCCTCTGAGAAATGTTTTATCTTAGCAACAGTGAAAACAGCTGGGTGTTTCTGCTTGTTCCTGGTGTTTGCATTCCTGCTTTGAGTCACTGCCTTGACTCCCTAAGTGATGGAATATTACCTAGAAGTGTAAGATGAAACCCTTTCCTTTCCAGGTAGCTTTTGGTCAGTGTTTTATCACAGCAACAGAGAAATGAACCAAGACAATTGGGTACCCACTATGTGGATATGTTTTATATCTGTATGTCAATGGGGATGTTTCCAGAGGAAATGGCCTTTGAATTGGTAGACTCAGGAAAGCAGATCATCTGCAGTGTGGGTTGGCTTCCTTCAACCGAAAGAGGAATTTAATAGAAAAAAAGGGGGGCTGAGAAAGGGAGAATCTGCTCTCTTCCTGCCTGCATTAGTGGGGACATTAAGCTTCTGCTTCTCTTTGACTAGATCTTATGCAATTTGGATTCCTTTTCTCCAGGTCTTCAGAAATTAACTGAAAATTGCACCATCAATCTGCTGATTCTCAAGGTTTTGAATTTAGCCTAGAATGTACTATCTTGGTTTTCCTCAGGCTTAGGCCTTTTACCTCAAACTGGAGTTATACCAATACCTTTTTTGGGGACTGCAGCTTTCATATGTTCATAGTGGGAGTTTTCAGCTTTTGTCATTGCCTGAACTAAATACTAAATTTTCATAATAAATTATCTGTATCTCTATCTATCTATCTATCTATCTATCTATCTATCTATCTATCCATCTATCTATTATCTAGTTACCTCTCTACCTTATCTAATCTACTGGTTATCTTTCTTCAGAGTGCCAGCAACATAGCTTTTGGTACTGAAATTGAGTCTAGAGAAAAAATTTAAATGATGTTTTTTGATCTGTCTCCAGTTTGACTTTCTGAACATGGATTGCTTGTGTTATTCAAATTAAATTTTTAAAAGTTGATTTAATTAAATTAAACTAATTACTACACTTTAGTATTAAAGAACATACTGGTAATCCATGCCATGCTCTAACAGGACAGTGTGTAAAGTATCTCCAATAAATGCTATCAATAACCACAAGATGCAAGGAGATAGGTGACTGTATATTTGTTTTGGAACATTTTAAGAAAACTAACAAAATAATGAGGTTGGCTTGCTGTTCCTAACAGTGCTGGAAAAGTAATAAAAAGAAAAGAATGAGATATGGGTTTCAAATTTCCTGCACAAGAACTGTGTAAATGACCGTAAGTGACTGTGCTTCTCCTGAAGGAGATGCTTATCTCAAAGCCACAGGACAGGCATCAGTGAAAATCAAATACAGAATTTCATCTTGAAACCACTTAAATTACAATGCAAGTTGAACTCCTGGTCTTGTAGGATGTTTACTGTTAAACTGGGGGCACTGCCTGTGGAACAGTAGGACTCTATAAGAAGACCCAGTGAAGCCAGGGATATCAAGATTCTGTTGACTGCTTCTTACCAGAGGAAGATGCCTCCCTAATACCAGTGGAAACCAGCATCTTCATTATCAATGGCATTAGCTTTTCCATCCCTGAATGAAGGGGTGTGCTAGGAAACTGTGGCCACCATACAATACAATGCTGATTCTCTCCAGGACCCTCTCTTCTCTGATTCTAGATCTACAATTAGACCAAAGGATCAGCATGCACATAAAGGTGATGTGCACAGTATGACCCATGAGGATGTACAATATATTTGAAAAGAACTACTCGAGTTTTATAATATAAACATATAAATCCAAAGAAAATGTGTGGGAGCAGATATTAAGAATATAGGACAATTCTGGAAGGAATATTAAATTAGATTAAATATGAATTTAATACAGTATAAACCTTAGCAAGTAGCCTGGCTCTTGAAAAGTTCCAAGGAGTCCATAGGGATGACCTCAGCTAGGACCCTGGGCAGTAGACAAGAGGGTGCCTTAACTGGCCTTACCCTATAGTCAGACTGATAAATATTTTAAATATCACCATGGAACCTTCACCTAGCAACTGATGGAGGCAGAGTCAGAGACCCACAGCAGAGCCCTGGGCTGAGCTCCCAAAGTCTAGTTGAAGAATTGGAAGAATGAGAATATGAGCAAAGAGGTCAGGAACACGATGGTTGGCACACCCACTGAAACAGCTTACCTGAGGTAATGGGAGCTCACCAACTTTGGTCAGACAAAGAAGGAACCAGCATAGGACCAAAAGTTTCCCAATGCACAAAAATGATAAATACTTAAGAAGAAAATTCTAGTTACTC